ACAAAGCTGGAGGCCTCACACTTCCTGCTTTCAAAACATCACAAAGCTGCGGTAATCAAAACAGTGTGGTATGACATAAAGCCAGACATATGGACTAATGGAACAGAATAGAGAGGGGCCAGCCTAGTGGTGTAGTGGTTAAGTTCACATGCTCTGCTTTGGCGGCCTGGGGTTCACGGGGTTCGGATCCTGGGCACAGACCTATACGCTGCTCATCAAGACATGCTGTGGCGGCGTCCCATATACAAAATAGAGGAAGATTGGCACAGATGTTAGCTCAGGGACAATCTTCCTCACCAAAAAAAAAAGAAAAAAAATTTCTGAAAGAATTGAAAGCAGGGACTCGAATAGTTGTTTCTTTGCCAGTGAGCATAACAGCATTATTCACAACAGCCAGGAGGTGGATGCAACTTGAATATCCATGGATGGGTGAATGAAGAAAATGTGGTATATAAATACAAGGGAATATAATTCAGCCTTAAAAAGGAAGGAAATTCTGACACGTGCTACAACATGAATAAACCTTGAGGACATTATGCTAAGTGAAATAAGCCAGTCACAAAAAGACAAGTACTTCATGATTCCACTTATATGAGGTACCTAGAGTAGTCAAACTCATAGAAACAGAAAGTAGAATGGTGGGTGCCAGACGGTGGGTGGGGGGAGTTGCTGTTAAGTGAGTGTAGAGTTTCATTCTTGCAGGATGTGGGGTTCTAGGAGTCTGTTGCACAACCATGTGCACGTGGTTGGCAATGTTGTACTGACTATCTGGAAATTGTTGGGTGGGTGGGTTATATGTTACGTATTTTTTGCCACAGTAAAAAAAAAAAATTGGTAAAATATAAATTTCTCTGAGACATGGCTTCAATAAATGATATTCTAACAAAAAAACTACCAAAATCAAAATAGTGATAGAACTATTAGAAGGTTAGGAAAATAGATTAACTATACCAGATAGAGAGTCCAAGATCAGACCCATACAGGTGATATTTGACAAAGGAGCCAAGATAGTTTAATGAGGCAAGGAAAATCTTGACAACAAATGGTACTTGAAAAATTGGGTAGACATATGGGGGAAAAGTGAATTCCAACCTCAACTTCTACTACTTAGAAAAATGAACTTGAGATGGTTTCTAGACCTAGAAGTAAAAGGTAAAAAACTGTAATGCTTCCAGGAGAAAACAAAGGAGAATACCTTTTGGACCTTGGGATAGGCAAAGATTTCACAGACAGCATTCAAAAAGCACTAACTAGAGAGGAAAAAATAAAGCGAGTCTCATGAAAATTAAAAATTTCTCATCAGATACTCTGGTAAGGGCGTGAAAGGTAAGCCAAAGACTCAGGGTACATATTTTCAAAACATATATCTAAAAAATAACTTGTATCCATAATATATCTAGAATTACTATAAATCAGTCATAAAAAGGCACCTCAAAAAATAAACAAAAAGTTGAACAGATGCTTCACAGCAGATGATATGCAAATGTGCAATGAACCCGTGAAAGGTGCTCAACAGAAGCCATCGGGTAAATGCAGACCTGAATCTGTTGTAGGATTCCACTTCACTACCATGAGAATGGCTACCATAGAAAAGACTGACGGTACCCAGTGTTGATAAAGATGTGGCAGGACTAGAATCTCATACATTGCTGATGGGGATGTAAAATATTACAACCACTCGGCAAACAGTTTGGTGATTTCTTTAAAATTTAAACATGCACTTACCATACGGCCCAGCAATGACACTTTTAGACATTTACCCAAGAGAAATGAAAATACCTGTCCATATAAATGCGTGTGCATGAATCTTCACAATAAATTTTTCATAATAGCCCAAACTCGGACACGACATAAATATCCATCAACTGGAGAAATATGAACAAATTATGATCTATTCATATGTTGTAATAGTTCTCATCAGTAAAAACCTATGAAGTACAGATAAATTCAACCACATGGATGAATATATTGAGCAAAGAGTCAACTCTATAGTATAGAGTCTATAGGGCCATATAGAGTCTATGTGATTCCATTTGTATGGAAGTCGAGAACCAAGGAAAACAGGTCAAAAGAGTGAACAGTGGCTCTTTATTCAGGGTGGGGATTGATTGGAAGAGGACATGTGGGAAATCTGGGTTGATAAATATGTCATATATCTGGGTTGGGTAATGGTATAGGTGTATCTACACTCATCAGAATTTATCAGATGTCCCTAAGATTTTAACATTTCACTACATGTATATTTTATACCATTTCCCCCCACCTGTAAGCTAATATTGACCTCTACTTAGTAGATTTCTTTTCACAGTGGTATTAGCTAGGAATTCTAAATTTGCTTTCTGTATCTCCCAGCTTAAGCAAATTAGTAAATATATTGAGGATAATAAGAGCTAAGTTTCTTTTTCTTGGATAAAAGAGTTAAAATTATGGAAAAGTTAAAGCCTAGAATGAATCATATAATGTTGGATTGAAATAGGAGATATTAGTGTGAACTTGTGGCTTTCAATAGATATAGATGTGGGTAGAAGTATTATGTATATCTGTGGGTATAAATTGATGTGTGTGTGTGCTTTAAGTGCACAAGTATGTGTGTTCTGTCTGCTGAGAGGGCCTAGAAACGCTGACTCCTGGTAGCAACCAACATACCTCATGCCCAGATCTTAGTTTCTAAATATCATTGTTCACTAAAAAGAGCTAGGTCTCTGATTCCAGGGCTGCATTAGGGAAAGTACACCATGACTCTGCGACATGTGTTGCAACAGAAAGTAAGAAAGTGCTTAAAAAAGGATGGGGACCTGCCCAAAGGACACACAGAGGCCAGCTTGAAGTGATCTTCCTGGTCCAAACTGGAGCCATGCAAGCCTCAAAATAAAAAAAGCTAAGAAACTGTTCCAGGTCCAAGAGGCATAATGATAATGTGACGAGTGGATGCATCTATCGTCCTGGGTTGGATCATAGACTAGGAAGACAAAATAACTACAAAGGAAATTACTGGGACAGTTGGCACCATTTGAACGTGGAGTTGGGATTAGAGAGTAGTTTTGTATCATTGTTAAATTTCCTGGTTTTGAGAATTTATGTTACATAAGAGAATGTCTTTGTTCTTAGGAAATACACTGAAATATTTAGAGATACAGGGGCATGATATCTGCAGTTTATTTTCAAATGATTAGCAAAAGGAAAAAATAGAGAAAGCAATGGGATCAAATGTAAACAATTGGTGAATTTGGGTAAAAATTATATGGGAGTTCTCTGTACTATTCTTGCAAATTTTCTGTAAATTTGAAATTATAGCCAAAAAGTTTTAAAAGAGAGAATAGATAAAACTGAAAGTGTTTAATATGTGAAGAGTTGATGTACTCTCTCCAGCTCATTGATGAGCCCTTTAGTTTCAGGCCATGAAGTCATGTCATTCAGTCACAGTTTTTACCCTGGGAGTTTAAGAAAAAGAGTGACAATAAACTACATTTTTGTGTTACAGTGCTTTGAGTCCAGCTAAGGAGAAAAGAACAGTGCACACAAAAGATAAACAAAATAAAGCAATAAATAAGTCCATTGTGTGTGGTGTGTGATACGCTCTAAAACAGTGTTGGCAAATGCTGTCTGTAAAGGGCCAGGTAGCAAGTATTTTGAGCTTTCTAGGTCATTATGGTCTCCGTCACAACTACTCAACTCTGCTTTAACAGTGTGAAACCAGCTATAGTCTACACATACATAAGGGGGTGCACTCTGTCCCGATGAAACCTTATTTACAGAAAGAGACAGCTTCATTTGGCCCAGGACTGTGGCTGGGTGACCACTGTTTTAAGACATCAACAGGGTGGCGTTTTCACAGGACTGGCTGGGCTGTAGTGTGCTTAGTGAAGGGTGTGGCCCTGGAGGTGTTCATACCTGGGTGCCAACCCTAGCATGCCACTCACCAGTTTTATGACTCTGGGAGAGCTTCATACCTCTGCTTCCTCCTCTGTGAAATGGGAGTACTAAGAATGCCTCCTCTGTAGAATTGTGCAGAGATTGTGGGTGTAGTCGTCTCTTGTCTGATTGCTGCCCTCTAACTGTTTTCCTGGCTTCCACTCTCAATCTCCTGCAGCCAAAGTGGAATCAGATCACGCCCTCCCTTCCCAAATCTCCCAGTGCTTTCCGGTCAGACTTAGAATAGGAGCCAGACTCCTGACCACGCCCATGAAGCCCTCGTCCAACTCCCGGTGTTGCCTTCATTCTGCCAGCACCATTCTCATTCACAGTCTGGGGCCACTGAGCTGGTTTTTCTCTGTGTCCTGGAGATTCTGTCCTGACAGAATGGCTGGCTCATTCTTCCTGGTCAGATTTCACACTGAGAGAACTCTTTCCTGGCTTTATGATTAAGTAGCTACTGAGTCAGTCTGTTTATCCTGTTTTAATTCCTTCCCTCCTTGACTATCTTTTCTGTCTCTTACCCATTAGAAGGTAAGCTGCATGAGACACGGTACCTTGTCTCCCTGATTCTCTGCTGTACTCCCAGCCCTGAAGATGCTGCCTTACAAAGTAGCATTCAATAAATATTTCTGGTCTTAATATACTCAAAAGGTCTGACACTGAGCCCAGTGTTTGCTAAAATCATTACTAATGACCTACAAGGTGTACATATCTCCCTTTACCGACATCGAAATGAATTATGAGGTTGAAAATGTGACCTATGAAGAAATATCCGAAGGTGAAGGTCCACTCACCCTAAGAAAAGGAAAAATCACACAGCAATTTGCAGCCAGTATTTGATTATTTATACAGATTCTAGGATAATAATATGAATAATGAAAGACTACGAATGAATTTGAATGTCGTCTTTCTGCACCTTTCAAACTAGCAGGCTTATACTTCTTTTCCTTCCTTCCCCACCCATCCATTTGTGACAGTTTCTGTAGGAAGATGAACTATTTCACAGGACCAGAGAGAAAGGAGAAGCATGAGGCCTTTGGGATGTTCGTGAACAATGGAGTGATTGAGCTCTCTTTTTGTTTTAGATGTCCATACAGAAGCTGTTCAGGCAGCGCTTGCTAAACACAAAGAAAGGAAGATGGCAGTGCCGATGCCTTCCAAGCGCAGGTCCTTGGTGGTGCAGACCTCGATGGACGCCTACACGCCTCCTGGTGAGTGGCAGCCACAGTCTGCTGTGTGCTGTGACGAGCACGCCTCAGAATCAGTTCACTGCTGGCCCAGCCATCGCGGTCTTTTTAGCTTTCAAATAATGGTGCTATAATTTAGATTTTGTGAACCAGAAGTCCAGAAACAGTATATAGGCTCTAAGTTAAACTTGGAAGGAAAGTTAACATTATTATGTAGATTATCTGTATAAATGTGTATTTTAAACTTTTCATTGGGACTCATAAATAGGATATAGACTTTTTAAGTCTTATAAAATTTTATTTAATTCTTCGTATAACAAAAGAGTTTGTACCTCCACAGTTCTAACTGAAGTTGGACTTTTATTCTGCTTAGACTGGTATATACATATTCTCAAGTCTTTAAAATATAAATATGTTGTAATGTTGTATTAAGAAACCAAATGACTTGAAAAATTTAGACAGTTACCTAGATCTGGTATCATCAAACTTTTCCTATAAAATGCAGGTAGTATATTTTGGTCTCTGTCGGCCATGAAGTGTCTGTCACAGCTTCTTACTCTGCTGTTGTAGTGTGAAAACAGCCACAGGCAACATGTCAGTGATCAAGTGTGACTGTGTGCCGTTAAGACTTTATTTACAGGGGCCGGCCCGGTGGCGTAGCAGTTAAGTTTGCGCGCTCCACTTTGGCAGCCCGGGGTTCGCCGGTTTGGATCCCAGGCGCGGACCTATGCACCACTTATTGAGCAATGCTGTGGTGGCGTCCCATATAAGGTAGAGGAAGATGGACATGGATGTTAGCCCAGGGCCTATCTTCCTCAGCAAAAAGAGGAAGATTGGCTACGGATGTTAGCTCAGGGCTAATCTTTCTCAAAAAAAAAAAAAAAACAACTTAAATTACAAAAACAGGCAAAGGGCTGATTTGGTCTGCAGGCCTGCCCACTCTTGATCTAAATGGTTAAAGGCAATATTGCATTTGTATTTCTCCTTTTATTTAATCTTGAATTTTATATTACTACCTAAGTTCTCTACTTCACTCCTCCCAAAATTATAATCTATATCTCATGATCTTCAAAAAGTTAAATTATCCAGGTATCCATTAGAAACATGAAGAATTGAGCCTAATTTACTCAATATTTTCTTGGTGGTTTTGGTTCCAACATTATTTGTGTCACTGTTGCCACTCTATCTTCTGTACAGATCTTAGTTACCTTGCATACCACTTTGAACAGTTTTAAATGCCATCATTTTTGTTCACAAGTGAAACTTAGGGCACAAAAAAGAATAGTTGAACATACACAACACTTTTTGGAGTGTTTTGAAGTTTAGTCCTAAGTGTTTGCAAGCAGTGGGGGTAATAGAAGCACACATTTGAGCTCAGAGATGTGGTCGTGTATATCCAATATTACTTCAGACAACCTTCAGCTTTACATGCCTTTAAAAGTGAAAGTCCTGAGCTTTATATGACAAAACTTAAATAATGTATACCGTAGTCATTTTGTTTTTTATTTATGGATAATCCATTAAACGTTCTTCATCTCAAGAATCTAGTATCCTGATAAGAAAGGGAGTCCTGTTTGCCAGTTTCCTTACTTACTCTCCTTCCTTTATGCTGAGCCACAAAATGTAATTTGGGACTGTTTTAAAATCAACATAATTAATATACTTAATCCTATTTATTTAGTTTATGATTATAATTTGCCAGAATTTATAATGTGGTGAAAAATTTTATTTTGTAGGTGTTTGTGCAACAAATAGAATGGACTTACAAGGATAACACACCCATTTAAAATGTTTTAACCAAATCTTTGTAACTAGACAGTATTCCAGGAGATGGACATTTCTCTGAGCCACTCTTTATGAGAGATGTTGAATTTAAAATGCAAGAAGCAATGTGATTATTTGTGTGTGTGCTTTTTCACATATTGACTCCATCCTCAGAAATGTTGTGTCATACACGATGAAAGGCAAAACTTTCAGAAAAACCTTGTACAAATGTCTTTGCACAATATAAAAGAACAATATTGGAAATGTTATTTCGGTGAAACATAACGTGTGTAATTATTTGACTAGCATTTTCATGCACACCACATAATGCGTTTTGTAGCTGTCGTTCAGGAGCCCTTGTGAGAATATCACGTGGGATAGCTCTGTACAGTCATAAACACCAGCACCATCATCGTGAACATTTTTATTCACAGCCTGTTTTGTGCTTATGCAGTAGTCTGCATATTTATAGTGCGCTTGCTTGAACAAAATCTTGGCTCAGCTTCGTTTTCTCTCATTCTGTTTTCCTTGGTTGCTGATAATATTTGTTAGAACTCATCTTGTGTCCACTGCTCTTCAGAGGATGTTCCTGGAGTTTATAGTCTCTGCATGAAGTGACTGGTTGCTGACCAGTATCATTGTTTCTGGAAAAGATCTAAATAGGATTATTGCACTGCTAGTCTTCTGTAGGTGAAACTTTCCTTTAGTTTTTACATGTAAAAATGTAAGACTAATTTGCCAGCACTTCTGCTTCTACCATAATGAAATAAGCAGTACCAGACTAACCCATGCGCTGTAAACAGCTGTAAAACTGCGCAAAACGAATGAGACAATGCTGTTGGGCTGCGGACCTCAAGCAGTACAAGAGTGATCCTGAAGCAGGAAAAGCCCACCCTGTGAGGTGAGCCCCCCAGTTCCCAGTTATCTTCCTGGAGGAAATTTTCAGACCATGACACAGAGATTGGGGTCTGAGCGAGCCTGGCTGTCCTGCTAAGTGGAGGAGGCAGAGATCTGAGTTCAGGGAAGATGAAGGGGCTGGAGCTTTCCACAGATCCACACTAGCAAAGAATAGCTCCAAGTCTGCTCAAGGTCAAGATGATCAGCCAGCAGTTGATCTGCCTGCTAAAACAAGAATCACAAGCCTTCAGAGAAAGATTATACCAATGTCTAGTTCTCAATAAACAATCACTAGATATGCAGAGAAACAGGAAATGTAATCTGGGGCCACAGCAAAAGCAGTCAATAGAAAATGAACGCAAAATGGCCTCCCCGTGCTCTCAGTAGCCACTAACCATGTGTGACTTCTGAGCACACCGAATGTGGCTTTTCTCAATTGTATTTGCTGGAAGTGTGAAATACACACCAGATTTTGAAGAGTTAATGTAAAAAAATAAATGGAAAATATTTCATTAATTCTTATATTTGTTTTATGTTGAAAGAATAATACTTTGAATACTTTGAGTAACATAAAAATACATTATTAAATGTATCTGTATATTTTTAATGTGGCTACTAGAAGGTTTAAAATTATGTACAAAGCTCTCATTATATTTCTTTTGGAAAGCACTGGTATAGATGTTTGATATAGCAGAAGACAGTTTTTAAATCTGTGATTATAAATATTTATTCAGGGAAGCAAATGAAAATATGTCAAAGAACTAAAGAAAAAAATATTATCTTCATGCTTGAGCAGAGAAAGGGAAAAGTAATTTAAAAATTCCAATAAAAATTGGAAACTCTAGAACTGAAAAGTATAATACTGAAATGAAATTTTACTGGATCAACTTAACATCAGATTGGAGAAGAAAGATGAAGGAATCTCTGAACTTGAAGAGATACCAAGAGAAATTAACCAAACTGAGGAGCAGGGAGACAAAAGGTTAAAAAAAATTAACAGAACCTCAAGCATTTTTGGTATGATGTTCAGATACTTGTAATTGGAATCCAAGAAGGAAAAGAGAGTGAGAAAAGGGCAGAAAAACTGAAGAAATAAGCGTCAAAAACTTCTTTGATGTAAAACACCGCATTACAGATCCCAGAAGTTCAGTGAATCCCCAAGCAGGATAAGTATAAAAAGAATCATAGCCAAGTTCATAATAGTCAAAGTGCTGAAATCCGAAGATTAAGAGGAAATCTTGAAAGTAATCAGAGGGAAATAGATACATTACATACTGCAGAACAGTCATATGAATTATGAATGACTCATATGAAGATAAGCAGAGGCCAGAAGACAATGAAAAGATATCTTTAAAGTCCTAAAAGGAAAAAAACAAAATTGTCAACTCAGGTCCAGTGAAAATATCCTTCATAAACGAGGGTGAAATAAAGACATAATGAGACATATGAAAGCCGAGAGAATGTGGTGCCATCAGAACCACACTGCAGACGTGCTAATGGATGTCATTTAGGCTGATGGGAAATGATACCAGATGCAAACTTACATCTGTAAAAAGGAAAGAACAACACTGGAAACAGTAAATAGCTGTATAAACATAAAATACTATGTTTTTGCTTTGTAATTTGCTTTAAAACAATTGTACAAAAGACAAGGATGGGTGAATGGAATTATACTGTTGTGTGGTTATTACATTTGTGAAGTAGGAAACAGAAAGTGGAAGGTAGGAAGTGAGTAGTGTCAGATGTGTTGTGAGTAGAGGTGGGAGAGAAGGTTTATAGTGTCAGATTTGAAGAGCAAACAGTTACAATAGTGACACCATATAGACTTATTAAGGATGCATATTGTTATCCCTAGAGCAACCATTGAAAAATGAGAAGAGGTATAGGTAAGAATTTAATAGAGGACATAAAATGAAACTCTTAAAAATATGTGGTGGGCCAGCCCTGGTGGCCTTGTGGTTAAGTTCGGCACGCTCTGCTGCAGCGGCCCGAGTGCAGACCTACACCACTTGTCTGTCAGTGACCATGCTGTGGCAGCAGCTCACATACAAAAAGAGGAAGTTTGGCAGTGGATGTTAGCTCAGGGTGAATCTTCCTCAGCAAAAAAAGAAATCTGGTTAATAGCAAAAAAGGCAGGAAAAATCAACAGAGAGATAAAAAATAGGTGGAATAGATGGAAAACAAATAGGAAAATGTTAGATTTAAACCCATTCATATCAATTATTACAATAAATATAAGTGGACCAAACACCCAGTTAAAAGATAGAGTTGGTCAGACTGGATAAAAAAGGGAGATACATCTATACATTATCTATAAGAGACACATTTAAATATAAAAACAAGGATAGTTAAAATGATGAAAA